CCGTGCTCTTGATTAATAAGGGTGCCCCGGCCCCCCCTCTAAAGTGATAGAAAAACCTCCCTATTTCAGGGGCCCCAGATGCCAGAAGGAGATTTCAATTGTAAACGACGTCCACCGAACCCCGATTGGGGTCCAAGCAAAATCAATAAAAATCCAAATTAAAACTCATTTGAATCTTGTTGAAATCGGACACTTATTTTCTTAGGGTGTGGGGATAATTTTCTTTAAATGGTTTTCGGCCCAAACCCTGCCTCCGCCTTTAAAGTAGTCCTTGACCCCTTAATTTGGCCCGAAGAGTTTTCTTTGAATCTAAGGGGTTTTATTAATCAAGAGCACGGATTAAGCCATTGCAGACGTTCTTATATGTCATTCTCAAGCCCACAGAAGGGCCGGATGTTTACAGGACTGCTCAGAAGTGAAATGTTTTTGGCAGACCCTTGCCTTACTGGAGAAGGGAAGAAAGGAATACATACTATAGGGAGTGTATAGAGAGTACAGTTCCTTATTCCCTACGAACCTTCAGTAAGCTTACCTGGGACGGGCTGTCTGAGGATGCTCAACTTCAGATCAGATGCGCCATCCAGAGAGTGACTTGGCCACGAGTCACAGAGGCTATATGGTAGTTTACCTAAATTGGGGGGCCCCATATAGACAGCAAAAACATATTGTCCTCGTATAGAGACCCCGAAAAGGTACCCCAAATTCAGGAAATCCACATTTGGTGACCTCAAAAAAATTAGGGGTCTTGTTTCGGGGCTCCCTACAACAAGGGTTCTACAGTAGCAGTTTCAGGTGCATAACTCTGTCCAACCATGTATGGCAACTACCAGATTCCCCTAATCAACCATGGAACCCGGGGCTCTAAGAAGCCTACTGTGCTTGTAAGCCGGCCCCAATTTCCACTTGGGGGTGCTTGACGTTTGGGCCAGAATTTCTGGTCCTTTTCCGTTGTACAAATGATGAAGGCCCTTTTTTGTTTGAGGGTAGTGGAGGGGCTCCAAACTGCGAAAGGCCATCGTTGATGGCTTTGGTTGGAGTCAACCTGTACAACATAGAACACACATATCCAGAAGGTCATGCTATGCTGTCAGATTTCTATCCAGGAGTTTCTTTGGAGAAGTGTGCTGTCTGGCGATGTATTCTGGTCACTTGCCTGTGGCTTTCCATTCCTGCGGAGGGTCGGGCAAACCAGTCAGGGAGGATTTCGTGAATTGAAATTGCGCGCATCTCAAAATTTCTTGGGAAAAGGTGCTGCTTAAACACCTGCTTATGCAGCAAACATTGCTTGCAGGAAGCTTGGGACAGGCCCATGACATCCTGCACAGTTGCGCCGTGCACTTCGAGAGCGCCATATATGCCCGGATCATGCTGTCGAATTCTCCTAACCCATCTTCGGCGCTACTCCTGAAACCTTCACGATCTACGCCAGGTGCTCCTGGGTGGTTTTTCTTGTGCACATCGCGCGTCGTAGCGTCTCCGTAGCATTACCCCCTAGTGCACGACTCCTCGTGCGGCCGACTTCGCTTGCAAAACAGTCTCGAAGCCTTGCTTCCCCAAATCTCGATACAAACCGCGAACCCCATCCATGGTGTTGAGCCCTAACAAGGATTATGCGGGACATGCGCATCCCCTGCTTTTCCTGCCTTTGCTCTCCGGTGCGCTGGGCGGACACTGCCAGCTCGTCCAAGATCAACTTCCTTCCTTTCTGGACAGGCGGGGATTTTCTAAGAGACCCATTTAGTTTAGGGCTTCGGGTGCTCAAATTCCCGTCAGGTGGGGGCTCCTTTGGATGTAGGGATCCTTGTGGCATTTTTCAACTTGGAAACAGCCTTTTTAGCATGGCGTCATAGACATAGCAAGGTGCCATATTCTAAAGAACAGGATTTTCAAGAGGGAACCAGAATTTTTGGAATGACCCTGGACACGTGCTCGGAGCATGGCCTGGTAGATTTTAAGTAGCAGTCATTCCGAGTCATTCCATCAATATTGCTGATGCCAGAGGACAGTACGGTCACTGTGAAACGTAAGTTTTGGGCTGCCATCGCCTGAGTGTTCGAGGCTGGGGGAAGGGACGCTAGACGTGAGGATGACTGCGGCATAAAGATGAAGTATGAGCGTGCGGCACTGGCAGTGCATGGGAAAGGTAGAATAGCTGCTAAGCAAGGGCTAGCATGTTTTTGCAATTCGGAACAGGCGTTTTCCTGGTGACGTTCCTGAACGCACTCACAGCTGCCACTCGGCGTGCGACTTTGATATCGCGACTGTAGTATGGTTTGAAGAGAGACATGTATAGCAGCCACGCGGGTGCTTCCAGCAGAATGTGTCAGGAGTTTCGCGAAGGATTGGCATGACTGATTTTTGACTAGTGTGTTGCTGGGTTTGGAAGTTTCGACTACGCAGCAGCTTCAGGTCAACTTAGTTGTGCGAGGGTGAGGAATTCATTGGACCTGGCCCTTACTGAGAGTTGTTCACTCAGATGCATTTCAGGGCTTGCATAATCAGGCAATCCGTGCTTTGAAGAAGATTCTGTTTCAGCGTCGTGCTCGAGCTTTCATCACATTCCACTTCGGGGTGACTTGGTTTGCTGGGTAACCCTAAGCCCTAAACAGCCGCCAAGAGTCCAGGCCTCGTTCTACATTACTGCCCTCATTTACATGTTCATGGCCGCCAACCACCGTCAGCTCATCCGCAGAATCTACGGAATGCCACACGGCACCTGGGTGGCAGGGAGCTACGAGATATCTGTCTCCAAGAGTGAGGGGCCCCTTTCCATGTGGATTATAACAGGGGTTATAGGGCTTATAAAGGATATGCTGGGAGGGATAGGGTTCAGGATTCCAAGATCGTGTTACTGAGGCTCCTGTCGTGGAAACCCTCATGTATCATTTGCTGACATCTCTTGTTAAGCCTTGTCCTTAAACTTATGCTTATGGAGCCCTGGAAGCTATTCAAGCTGAACCTTTTGCCCTCCAATGACAGGCATGGCTGAGGGGTGCTTCATATACAGGGAGATTTTTCTTGTCACATCAGAGTCTTTGCGGCTCCTTGAGCCCCGTGTCGTAGCATAGGGCGAATGCTTCACAGTTTCAGAGTTTCAGGGTTGAGGAGTTTATCTTCCAGTTTTTGGGACGAAGGTTTGGGAAGAGTTGTTGGCCTTTGGTCCTTCTGCCACAGTGTGGTGATCGTTGTCACCCTCGCAATGATTATTAGCAGTCAGTACTCTAGCTATGACTACTCCACGAAACGTCGGTCATGACTCTTGTCGAATTATTACGACTTGCAGCATGCTGTTTTGCCCTGTTGTGTCAGCTGCATCGAGCCATAGGCAAGAAAGAAGGCGTAAACTCCAAATGGTCATCCGATCACATGACGTGAATGTAATTCGTGAGCAGTCCGATTTTGAAAGCTCCACACCACCTCTTCAGCGTTAACTTGGCGTTAGCACACATGGTACCATGCAGACCTCAGGGGTAACATAGAAGCCTGAATAGTGGGAAGCTCTACGTGTACAATCCTGAGGTGATTTCTGAACAGCATGTCCCAAAGCTAGGTTTTCAGCATTTAGGCCTCTATATGTTTTGGCATTCCGACCGGCCGTGAACCTCTAAGAGCCAAGGTTGCTAAAAGGTTCCTTGTTTGGGCCACAGGAGCACAGCAAACTGCCTTTGCCCGCCTCGCCATGGGCATACTACTAGAGATCTGTTGGCCAGAAGCTGGCCTCCATTTTTCCCAAGGAGCCTGCAGTTTTCGCGATCGACGGCGTACCTCAAACCGTGGCACCTGCAGGGGGAAAGCGACTGTTACAACATCCCAAATGGAACCTACAGTCTTTTGAGAAAGCAAGCCCTACATAATCGTTGTTAGGCAACCCCCCGGCACAGGCCAAGCCTGCGTATTCCTTTCAGTCTCTCTACTCTGAACAATCCCAAATTGTAGTTTCCATAAATAAGGGGACCCCAAATACTATAATCCTCATTGTGCGCACCCCCCAAAAAGGTACCCTTAATTTTAGGAATCCCCGCCTAAATACAGCCTTGCTCGTAGCCGCCAAGGCACCTGGCGTACCTACACTGAGGACGGGAATGAAATCAGAGCATTTGTGCCAGCGAAAGCATGTATGAGGCAGAGGCAAAGTGGGCAGCAAAAATGAGTGACATACCTCAGGTGGACCCCCCACCCAGTAATAGTGACTATTATGGATGACAAGGAATATATTAGGGTCTTTTATATTCCTAGTATACCACTATTGCAGGGTGGGGGGTCTTCCTAACACATACCTCAGAGGTTTGAGGGTTAGGCTCCGCTTTGGATGCAGGCTTGGATTCTGTCTTGGCATAGAACACTGCTTGTCAGTCTTGGCTTGTTGAGGGGTTGCAGTAGCTGGCCATGCTGTTGTGAAACAGAAGCAAGTCGAAGCGTGAAGTGAAAGCTCTCCTGCAGCCGTCCACTCCTCTGGCCACAAGGGCTCAAATAGATCGTGTTTCAGAAGCGCGGCCCATCATTGCCGCCGCCGTAAAGAGACAGCCTGTGAAAAGGTCTAGAACAACAATTATAGTGTGTACTTACCTCGCTGCGGTGGCAAGGACTGCTGCACGTGGATGTGGTGTTCATGCTGTGCCACCATGCAAGAGGCCATGGAGCCACTGGGCCTCATCATCAGCCTCATCATCATAAGAGCTGTAGTCTAAACTCCTTAAAGGGGGATATATAAGGGATTATATAGGGAACTACTATAAGGGTTATTAAGGGGGATACTAGGAGTTTAGACTATAGCTCATAAGCAGCAGCAGCAGCATCAGGAAGGGAACTTCACAGTCATCATGATCAGCATGAATGAAGTCATGGCTGTGCCATTAATTATTCCAGGCCTTGCAGCATTGAGCTCAACGAATACCCTGCTTGCTTGCAGAGAACCCAGGCACTACAGTGTTTCCGCATCAGGTTTAAGTTGTCTTCGCGTACTCACTTCCTAGCGCCAGTAGGCTTTGTATAGTATAGTCCCTACACTGTAAGGCTGCCCCCGGGACCCCTAATTTGCGGCAACTCGCATAGTACACAAGCATGAGAAGCATGTGTACAGCATGTCAGTTTAGGGCCAGCCTTTAAGAATCCCAGTAATTGGTTTTGATTGAACTTCATTCACTCCATCCGGATCCTGCAATTAGTTCCTCAGAGTATGTTCAACTGTGGGATCCGACATTCTTGGTAAGAAGGACTGCTTTGAAGAGTTTGGTTGCACGTGTCCAGCAATTTGTTGCCAGGTGTTGTATTGGGCTGCGCAGGGTTATGTGGGAGCTTTTTCACGAAGAACCTGCACGCGAATTCAGGGGACTCCTTTGAATCCCTTGATTATGTCCATGTGTCCAGGGTTCCTAAAAATACCCTTGTTTTGAGAAACATTGATGTATGAGTTGAGGCCATGACATGCGGAGTAGAACTAGGTACCAGCTGTGCCTCTAGCCTGACGTAGTCCTGCTCTGTGATGAACTGAGGATTCAGTATGTGAACCCGGTCAACAAGCCGTGGCAGTACCTTGTCTGACGGCTTGTTCATCTACCAGGCATTCTCAAAACTATGTCCTTTTCAGGGTCACTACAAGCAGAATCCTAACGCCTACATGGGGTCAAACGGCCACTTTCAAGCATGATTTCTGCCCCGAAACAGAGTATAGTTCCATATGTAAGCTTCCCAAACATCTACTTCTTGTGTGTTTCACCCAGGTTCAGGCAGCGTTCTTGTTCACCTACACCTACTCTCTAGCCGGGATGTAGTCCTTGCCTACTCAACATCTTCCCCTACACGGTATCAGCTGTGTACATGCCAGAAAGCAAAACAGCCATGCCCCAGGCATGCAAATGCAGGTGATCGAAATATGCTTCTATGATTTCCATAGATACACAGGGCCACTTTAGCACCCGGTTGCAGTCCTATGTCGTCCAAATAAGCGTCTGATGTAAGGCTTGCAATGGCTCTATATGATGCCTATATGCCGCAAGTAATCTACCACAGCAAAAATTAGTCTGTGCACTACACAAGCCCTCTATAGTGTATATAAAAGCCGCAGACAATCCAGAGATAACCCCTACATGGGAAGTTCCTGTGCAAGACCTATATGAGTAACGCAGACCCCTAATCAATAAACCAGGTCCTTTTAAGGACCTGAATATTCGGATCCCTATCATATCCCTATCAAGAGGAGGGGGTTTATTAGTCAGGGGTCTACATTAAGCCCTATAGAATCTCTATGCCATCCCTTGCTCGCCTTCCTTGCACAAGTGCCCATTGGATCAATATTAGGGTTATATTGGGATATTGGAAAAGAAAATGGAAACTACTAGAATGGGTAGTTATTTAGGGATCATTGGGTGTATATTGGGGTTATATTCGGATAGTGGAAAAGGAAATGGAAACTACTATTGTTTAGGGTGCCAAAATAGCAAAATGAACTGAACGAGATGGCCGAAATGACCCCTGCACCTGGCTTGATACAGGGTTACTCTCCAGCCAGCACTCAATCTTTGACAAACGATCTTCTGGGCGGCTCACTCACTTTTGATAAAGGCCCTTTTTAACACGGCATGCTGCATTCTGGGATACACACCTGAACTATTGGGATCTTGATTCTTCGCAGCTGCCTAGACCTTATGCCTTAAACCCTGCTTTAGAAGGTTTGCAGTGGTTCAGTGCCAATGCGAGAGCCCTAAATCACGCAAACCTGCAAAGAGCAAATGGGCGGCTTCAGCCACTTGATATTGCGGCCTTGAAGGGGACCGGAAACACAGATCTACAGGTTTCTTGTAGCATGTCCGCAAGCCCTTCACCGTAACCGGCAAACGCAATGATGGCGAGTAAGTGCAATCTGGGTCCGAAAGGCAATAAGAATGGCAGAAAGCGGTGATGATAGGCATGACACCCGTGTCATGAACAGAGCGTATCTTCAAGTTTTACAGGGACTTCAATAAGGATTTCATTGCAGGGACTGGGTGTTGCATGAACTTTGAAGGGGCCCTATAAGGTCCCCATACTTCTCAGAAGCCTCCGTGTCCCGACCTCATATTCTTTTTTTGCTGATCTTGTGAATCCAGGTTTCATGTATGGGGACTCTGTTGAAACACCAGAGTGGCAGAGTCCCTAACCCTCGTCAGCCGCAAAGCCACTTCTTTCATTTCCCTTAAGGCCCAGCTGACTGCTCCCGACTCCTGTTTTCAGCCTAAACTGCCTAAACTCTGTGCCCGGGACCCTCCTAGTCTCGGCACATACACACACACACACACACACACCTCATACCCTGATATGCCATGTACGTATGTATACCTGTCAGCCACACCATAAACCTCAACCATTAACCTTAGGCAAAGCATGGTGGACTCCGTTCTTCCTTCTGGCTTGCAGTCGGAGAAGGAGCCCGAGGCTGGATAAACTTCAGCTTGGAGGTTCTAGGTGTGGAGTTTAGGGTTTGGGTACGGAGCTTGCAGTTTAGGATTTTTGGGGTTCTTGTTTGAGGGTTTAGGATTCAAAGGGGTAGGGTTTTGGGGTTTGGGATTCTGAGCTGGGTTTTGCAGCTGCTGAGCTTCAGGGGTGCTTGGTTGCTGCGAACTACGCGGCATCAGTCGGGCTGCTCGAACTTTGGTGCGAAACATAGCTGATGGGCTTGGATTTCGGGGTATTCTCCACAGGTTTAGGAGCTTCCAGCTTTTTACTCGCCACCTTATCCTTGGTTATGGGGATTATCTTCTACATTGAGGTTATATAGGGGATAATGGAAAATGAAGTGGCAACTACTATAATAGGGTATATATTAGGGTAAAAAAATCATGTTGCTTCTTCCCCCTTGTGCTGGTAAGTCATCAAGCCT